TGTGTGTGTGTGTGTGTGTGTGTGTGTGTGTGTGTGTGTGTGTGTGTTTCCTCCCTCTTCTTTGGGGGTCAGTTCTCGCCCTTTGCAGCTTGGTTGTTTTTGATTGGCGTTGCACAGGAGAACCTGTGGGGATACTTTGAAGCTTTGCATTTCTGTTGGGAGCATCCTCCTAATCCAATTGGAGATGAGTTTATTGGTAATAAGGCTTGAGTCACTGTGGCGCTGGGGTTTGTTTTGTTTTGTTTTTTCTGGCTCATCTTTACTGCTAGCCTGAGGTATTCCAGGTCAGTTTTGAGCATTTACCTATTAGGTGGCTAAGGGGAGATGTTGGTTGTGGGTGTGAGTCTGGGTCTTAGGGAGGGTCAGCTGGAGAAAAGCATTTGCGGGTCACCAGTCTTGCGTGCAGCAGTTAACTGAAGGTGTTGCAAGGGTGAGCACTCCTGGGCAGTGAGCAAAGCCAAAAAAGACAAATAGGCCCAGGGTTGAGTGCACCCCTCCTTCTTTTCTTTAAAAATGCCATGCTATTCTTGCTTGCTGTGCCCTGTGCTTAGAATGCTGTTTCCTGCACCTTTTGCAGAAATGGGTCTTTGTCATCTCCTGGCCTTTAGCAAGTGTATCACCTCTTTGGGAGGCCTCCCCTCACCACGCTCTGTCCAGGAGTCTCTGCCACCCCCCAGGCCAGCGTCCAATACCTCATCCTGCTTATTTCCTTTACAGCCTTTTCACGGTCTGAAATCACCTTGTCTATTGTCCATTTTCTCAGAGAATTAAGCCCCGAGAGGTGGGGAGCCACATATATCTATTTACCTAATGATTCTTGGAATATAATAGGCATTTGTGGACACATGACTTTTAAAAAATTGGCTACATTCTCTTGATTGGATTATGCATTTTGAGGGTTTTTTTGGACAGCTAGCCTGTCTTTTCAAATGCTGTAAGGCAGCAATTCACAAAATGTGCTTCATGGACCCCTAGGGGTCCCTAAGACTCTTTCAGGCGGTCAAATCTATTTTCATAATGATACTGTTACATAGCTTTATCACTGTGTTGACATTTGCACTGATGTGCTACAGCAGTCCGCTGGCACCTGGGCAGGAATCAAGGCAGTGGCACCAGGGGGCCCTAGTTGTCATTATATTTATTCTACACTACCACACTTCCACAGAAAAAAAAAATTTCCCTTAAGAATGTGCTTATGAAGCAGTAAGCATTATTAATTTTATTAAATGTTAACACAAGTACTTTTAATATTTTGTGTGAGGAAATGGGCAGTAGGCAGAAAGCACTTCTGCTGAGTACCGAGGTACAGTGGTTGTTCTGAGAAAAAGTACTTGTGTGATTGTCAGCTGACAAGACCATGTTTTTCGTGGAACACCATTTCTACTTGAGAAGATAACTGGCAGGCAAACTATGCTTATTCAAACTTGGGTATTTAATAGATATTTTCTTGAAAATGAATAAAGTGAACCTATCACTTCAAAGAAAACAACTGACAGTATTTGTTGCCAACAATAACATCTGAATTTCCAAGTGAAAACTAAAATTTTAGAACAGTTTTATACACCATCGTGAGTTTGACAGTTTTCCAATATTTAAAATCTTTCTGATGAGATTTGTGGTTATATTAATGAATATATACTTTTGACATTGTATAATGAGATAAGTCAACGTTTGGAAGATATGCGTAATTCAGTGAGCCAATATTTTCCAAATGACCGATGCATGATCCATTTAAAGAGGACAGTCTACCAGTGTATTTTAATGTAACAGAGTACGAAAAGTTCATTGGTACGGTTTCAGATTCCACACTACCATTTACTCAGTTTGGGTGTAGTATAAAAGAAGAGTATTCACAATTTTCTGGAAAAGGCTATTAAAATACTCCTCCCTTTTCCATCTATGGAAAGGGCATATGAGGACATATTTCTTCTACTTCAACCAAAATAACATATCACAACAGGCTGAATGCAGGAGTGGATATGACAATTTAGCTGCTTTCTGTTAAACCCAACATAAAAGAGATTTGCAAACTGTAAAACAGTGCCATCCTTCTCACTCAGTTTTGTTTTATTTTGTAAATAGTTTCATAA